AAAAATTTCTTTTAATTTTGTTTTAGGTAGTGCATTTTTTGTTTGTTTTTGTTGATTTTTATCGAGCTCTACATTTTTCTATGTTCCCCTTCAATGTTCTCTCAAGCTCCCCATGCTACCAATTTACTCAGGAGATCTTGCCTTTTTCTACTTCCCATGTAGATTATATTCATGTACATCTCTTTTAGGGTCCTCATTGTTGTCTACATTTTCGGGGATTATAAATTGTGGGGTGGTTTTCTTTGTTTTATGCTTAAAAATCACTTATGAGTGAGTACATGTGATAATTATTTTTCTGGGTCTGGGTTACCTCACTCAAAATGATATATTTTGGCTCTATCCATTTGCCCATAAAATTCAATATGTTATTTTTTCTGCTATGTAGTATTCCATTGTGTAAATATACTCCATTTTCCTAATCCATTCTTTGGTCAAGGGGCATCTAGGTTGTTTTCAGGTTCTAGCTATAGCAAACAATGCTGCTATGAACATAGTTAAGCACATGCCTTTGTGGCATGGTTGAGCATCCTTTGGATATACATATGTATATCCATCCAAAAGGGGTATTACTGAGTCTTGAGGAAGTTTGTTTCCTAATTTTCTGAGAAATTGCCACACTGACATCCAAAGGAGCTGTGCCAGCTTGCATTCTCACCAGCAATCCAGGAGTGCTCTCTTCACCCCACAACCTCTCCAGCATAAGTTGTCATCAGTGATTTTGATATTGGCCATTCTTACGGGTATAAGATGGAATCTCAGAGTTGTTTTGATTTGCATTCTCTGATGACTAAAGATGTTGAACATTTCATTAAGTGTCTTTGAGTCATTTTAGATTCCTCTGTTGAGAGTTCTCTGTTTATGTCTATACTCCATTTTTATTGGATTATTTATTCTTTCGATGAACAATTTGTTGAGTTCTTTATATATTTGTTAGTTACAGTAGGTCCTTTTCTTCCTTACAAATTGTCTTCTAGTAGAATTCTCTTGTTCTTTAGGTAATCATTGTGAGGCAGGAGCTGCATAGTGAGTTGTGAAGTTCAGTCCCAATGGATGCATCTACACAACTTGTCAACACCCAAGAATTAAAAAAACCTTTTGAAAATGGGGTTAAATTATTGTAAGAGCCATAGGGAAAGAGGTTTTGCTGTGCGATATTTTGCCTCCTAGTAATATCAGCACATACAAATGTAAAGTCTCACCATTTTTTAACCAAATGTGACTTGAACAGGGAAGACACCAACAAACATGTCAAACTGGATAGGGGAAAGCCCATGAAACTTCAAAACTTTGGGAAAAAATTAAAGATAACCAAGTCACACCAGAAGCAGGAGAGGTACTCCTCCTCAAAGAAGAGCACATCAATTGATTATCCACGACCAAAGGATTATCTCTGAAAATAAAAATGCAAGTATCATTATAAGAACTTCACAGCTTGTATTTAGAGATATCTGTGTATATACAAATATATATATATGCAAAAAATAATAAAGTGATGAAAAATAGAACTTGTATTTGAAGGAGAGAAAAGTGAAGTACATGGGGGGATTTGAAGGGCAGAAAGGAAGAGAGAAATGCCTTAATTTAAATAGAATCTTGCAAATAATTTGTAAAAAAAATAGCTGCATGGCCACAATAACATGTCCAGCTACCTATAAAAGGACCTTGTAATGATTTATGTACTTCCTAGAATTATATGATATGTGATAGTCCTTGATATTGAAGGAAACACAAAATGGAAATTCTACATTATACATAACAGGCATCAAAGGAAAGTCACACTTCATAGACTAGTGCTATCCTTTGTAGCACTCTGTAGAGGAACTTCCTACAAATAAACATAAACTGCCTCTCTGATCTGAGACATAAGAGGAACATATACTTATAAGGAATCACTTGGGCAGTCCTGTGACTGTGCCCACCCATTGCTGATTTGCATGTGGCCAGAGGACAACCCACTGTCCTGAACACTTCTTCATAGACTGGTCACACCCTGTGTAGGAGTCAGCCTCACACAGGTCACAGCACAGACATGAGGTCAGTCATTCATCTTGTGGGGTTGCTGCTGCTCTACCTTACAGGTAAGAAAATGTATAGAGTTTAGTATGGTTGGTCATACTTGGTTTCAAGGAAAGTTCTCTTGATGTAATTAATTGTGTGAAAATTTGTTTTTAATTTTTCAACCTCAGGTGCCAGATGTGACATTCAGATGACGCAGTCTCCAGGATCCCTGTTGGTGTCTCTGGGAGACACTGTCACCATGACATGTCAGGCCAGTCAAAACATTTACGGTTGGTTGGCATGGTATCAGCAGAAACCAGGGAAATCTCCCAAGCTCCTGATCTATAGTGCAAGCAGCTTGGCAAATGGTGTCCCATCGAGGTTCAGTGGCAGTGGATCTGGCACACAGTATTCTCTTAAGATCAGCGGGCTGCAGCCTGAAGATGTTGCAGTTTATTACTGTCAACAGCATAGCAATACTCCTCCCACAGTGATATAAGCCATGACAAAAACTTACTTTTGTAAGCAGAAGTGAGAGTCAAGTCTGTTCAAACTGTTCATTCTGGGATCTCGAGATGCTAGGACAGTTTTACACTGTGAAGATATAGAAGACATGTGATGTTTTTGAACAGGGATCAGAGGAAATTTTATGTTATAAGTCTGTCCTCTTTCCAAACAAAAACATTAAAACAGAGGCATTCTTCATTATTTGCAAGATGTAAAAGCTTTTCCTGAGCAACAATGGTAGGAAAGTAGCAAGTTTCAATTTTTCCTCTGTAATTCACAGGTGTGCCATAGAAAGGAATTGATTACACATACCCCACACACCATTTAACTAATAAATGTTAAATATCAATTCACTGGGGTAGAATTGTTACATGAAATGTTTTACATATTTAATTCATACAAAACAATTGAGTTGGAATTGACATGTGGCATGTCACTTACCAAAACACCAGAGGCCAAGCTATCACTTGCAAAGTTTTTTTCAAACAAAACTTCTGAGGAATATTAATTTCAATATCCATCGCCTTTATATTTTCACAATAAACAGTTAAGCAACACAGTATTTTCTTGTGCAACTATGGAGATAAGTTTAATGAAATAGAAGTAATACAGCTTCTAATATCTATATTTAAAAGTCTTTAAAATGGCAACCCTTTTTTGTAATGGCATGAATGAATGCAGACAGATTGTAAAAATATATACAGGTTTAATGGGTTAATAGACTTACAGAACCACCATTCCCGCGGAGACCAGGAAAGCAGAAGCAGCAGCTGGGAGCACAGTCGCCAGATAAACATTAGCCTGAGGCAAACATGCCACCTAAGGGGCTGGACTTATCCCTACATCTCCCCCTTTTGTCTAAATAAGACAGAACTAAACCAAATACAACTATATACAATAATAACAAATAATAAATATAACAAACAATATTGAGAACAAAAGTTTTGCTAAACATTCTATCTCAAGGAGTCTAAATAATGTAGAGAGTAACTACAATTATATAATCTTCAACTCCGTCAAAGATCTGAGAAGGGAATAAATATTACTTAATAAATGAGATATATCCAAAATGTGCAACAATTGACAGAGACAACTGACTACCTGGGCAATCACCCAAAGTCTCGTTTACAATGTTGAATCAACCAACTTTGGCTAAGGCCTAACATAACTGATATACCATTATTAAATGCACAGAACTTTCTTAGAACTATCCTACCCTGTCTTGGCAGGATAAGACAATCCTGTTTCATTGTCAGAAGCTGAGATATGGGCTTTTCTTAACCCAAAGGCCAGTTCTGCCAAGAAGACAAATTCCCAGTGGAGTGCCTTTGGTGCTCAACGTTCTCTCGGGAGTAGAGTGGTAATTGTGTCTCGCTGGCACAGAATTCTAGATTAGATTAAAGTCCATTTTCTACAGCTCTTCGAAGAGGCTGAAGATTATACTATCTGTCTTGAAGACTAAAAGAATAAACAACTGTGGAATATATGAGGACAATGATCTTCAACTGTAAACAATGTCATTACATACCAAATGTAAACAATGTTATTATATAAATAGTATCAGAGGTAGAAATGTAAAATGTAATATGGTAGATGTATCAATACAATATAGACAAAGTTATAAGCATACTCTTATACAAAAATAGAGGTAGGAACACACATTCAATATTCAATATATCAATATACAGGAAACAGTAATAATACAATTTTCTAAAAACAGTAATTCACAAATACCAATCATCCCATCAAACCAGTTAACCCCCCTTTTTTTGAAAATACCCCTAATTCCATAAAATATCTCCCCATCCCCTCAACCCTAAACTAAAAGATGTCCCTAACCCTGAGGGCAAACTCTGTTGGGAGAGGGGACATAGTCCTCTAAGATTGCTTCCAGCTGACATGGGGGCAACATTCTTCTTAGGGGTCCTGTGAAAGCAAATTATGGTAAAATTCCCAAATTAACCTTTGACCTAAGAAAATTATAACTAGTCTCTGAGTGTTTTGAGAAGGTCCGGCCAGAGTGTTGTCTAAAATGTGCACCACTCGAAATTGTCTCATGCAATTGGTACCAAAAAACTGGTCTAATTTTAGCGCTTAAAAAATATTCATGACGTCATAAAAAACAGATTGAATTGATGTCATGGGGCTCCATCTTCATCCTGGAAACTTTTAAGATTACTGTAGGGAAAGTTGTTGTTTGTTATGGGAAATTTAAACATTAACAACAAGGACATATACTAACATATAAAGAAAGACACAGATATGAGGAAAAGCAAAGAAAGTTTATCAAGTACATAATTATTCTTATTCTTTCCCATTTCATGGCTCCTGACCTAAGACAGAAACTCTGAAATATCTCTTATCAACAGGCTTGGGATTGAAGAGGGACTGAGCCATAGTCCAACTCCAAAACCAGCTCTACATGCTTATAAAGAAATGTTTAATAAGACATATATATATTATATATATAATTAATACTTACAAAATGTGTCCATCCATCAGTAATTAAATATTCAGGGTCCCTTAATTTCTTTGAAGATGAGGTGGCAGGAGCTGGGTGGTGGAATGCAACCCACAGCTCATACAACAGAATGGCGACCAGACGTGTGGACAACTGAATCCACTAAAAGCCTGAGAAAGCTTGGGAAAGAGTAAAGCATGTTTTCTTGGTAGCAGCAATTTCTCAGGCCTGCTTTGCTTTCTAGAGGCAAGCAAGCACTCTCATCTAAGAGAGGCTTTTTGACTCAGCTTCAGCTGCAAAACCCTGCAGCTCTTAAGAGGTCCTGCCATGAAACACTTAAATGGTGTTGATAAAAGCTGACTGAATGTTTGTTTGTTTTCAGCAGTAGAAGGAAAAAAACCTGTGTTGTTTTAAAATGCAGGCTTTCTGGGCCGTCCTGCCAGGGCAAACTCTGGCTGTTTGAGGCAGGAGGGACGACTACAGAGAGGACTTGAGTGTTGTCTGTGGACATAATGCTACAACTTGTTTGCTGGCAAGGACCTTGAAACACTGCAGACTTGTGGCACTGAACAGGGCTCTGGCCGGTACCTCAGCCAAAAGGTTGGAATGGCAGAAAGGTAAGGAATGGGCTGGATCTAGCCGGCAAAGCCACGGCTTTAATCCTACTGATATTGCTTGCTAAATTAAGGACTCATGTGGTCAAAAAAGAGACATATACAGTAAAAGAAAGATTCAAAGTCAAAGAAAATGTTTAAATGATTTACAGTGTGTTAAAAATATGCATGAACTTGCCTAAAGGTGAGATGATCTTTCGGGGTTCCTGATTCATGAAAGAGTCTGTGAGACATTCTGCAGGACACAGCAGGACATATAGTAACTGAACTGCTTTTGAAATTTCCTGCTCCATGAAAATGTCTCTGGATACTATGGGCCTGTAGGCCGAAGATAGATGCCCCAACGGTACAGAGGAACTTTGGGTGACTGTCCAGGCAGCGAGAGGTCTCTGTCATTTCTAGAGTTTTGGATTTTTTGTTTACTTAGGTAATATATTCTTCTGGAGTCTTTGATAAACTTGAAGAATGGTTAGTTATAGTTTTCCATTGTTATGATAAAAGATATGGTAGATATAAATATTGTAACTGTAATTCTTTCTTAATATCTGTTTTGTTATATGTAATTTTGCTGTGTTAAAGTTAAAGCCTTTCATTTTTGTTTAAACAGAAAAAGGGGAAATGATGGAGGAAGGTCATTGGTTAAGTAATAAAGAAACTGCTTGGCCTCATAGGTTAAAACGTAGGTGGGAGGAGTAAACAGAACAGAATGCTGGGAGGAAGAGAAAGTGAGCTCAGAGGCCATGCTACCCTTTCCCAGGCTGACACAATGCAGCAAGCCGCCAGGTCAGACATGCTGAATCTTTTCTGGTAAGACTGTTGCTACACAGATTATTAGAGATGGGTTGATCGGGATATGAGAATTGGCCAGTAAGGGCTAGAGACTATTTAGGTCTGACACGTACCTCAAGAGATTCAGTTCTTTACATGAATGTCATCAATCGCTCCACCTTCCTGAACAGAGTACACATTTTTCTCAAATTACATGGGATATTCTCTAAGCTACAATATGTATAACTCACAAAAAAGTCATAAAAGTTTTGAAAGACTGAAAACATGCAAACTATCTTCTATTTATGTGGGTATAATGGAGAAGATTTTGTGAATACATGTGTGCACATATGTGACTATACCTGCAAATGGGGAGGTCACAGGTCAAACCTCAATGATGATCCTCAGAGGAAATTTACCTTATTTTAGTTTCTTTCTTTCTTTCTTTCTTTCTTTCTTTCTTTCTTTCTTTCTTTTTTTTTTTTGACACAGACTTTCACTTGCCTGGAACTTGCTGCATAACTATAACTAGAAGGATTGGCTAGTGATCCACCTGGATTGGCCAGTCTCTATCCCTCCAATGGCTAATCTTGCCACTGTGCTACGTAAGTTTTAAATGAGTCTTTGGGAACAAACTCAAGTCTTCAAATTGAATAGCCTGTAATTTATTACCTGAGGTTCTCATATTTTCATCTTTGGTAAAATGGTATGTAATTACCAGGCAATGCAAAAGGAGGCCAGAAAAACTCTGGGTGCCAATCTATAGTTGGAGGCTACTTGTTTGTTCCTGGCTTCACAGATTCCCAAAAATAATCACACATAATCTATATTATTTAAATCACTGTTTGGCCAATCACTAAAGTATATTGCTAGCTTCCTCTTACATCTTGAATTAACCCATTTCTATTATTTTATATTTTACCATGAGGGTCATGGCCTACCAGCAAGGTTCTAGGTGACAGCTCACGTCTTTTGCCTCTGGCAGTTCTATGGAATCTGCTTGAGAGCACCTACTCTCTGTATATATCTTTTGCTGCCTGACTATGTTCTCTTAAGTCATTGATCAAAAGCAGCTTCTTTATTGATTAACCAATAAAAACAAATATTCTGCAGGACACAGAAAAATGTGATGGACAAACTGCCAATACA